ATGTGACTCCATCTTGCACAAAGAGTAACTCTACTACAGAAAAATGACCCAAGCCTGAGTCCAGGAAGTTCCCAAGTCAAGTTTAGCCAATCATCTAAGCAATTTCAAACCTGGCTTTATACGGCTAGGGAGACCTAAAGTTACAGGATACAGCTATTACTAACGATACGTGACTACTGTTACTAGCTCCATCCAGTCAATATGCACCCCATGTAATAGCTCCTTAACTGACTAATTATGACAAAGATTACTTCATCACGCTTAAAATTCCCCAAGTTCCCGTGAAAAGGGCCTTTGTCCAGGGTGTCATTGCCATTTTGTGTGGATGATCAACCCCTGCATGCTGGCTGTTTCTGCAGAATAAATGCTCTTTCTGTTTGCATAGTATTTGAGTCTGGAGTCTTTCTTCAACAATTCTCAGACCCTTAAGAGTTTTGTTGTTCTATACATGAAAAATGTAGAAAATTATAATATGAAGATTACCCCCTAATCCCATTTCTCTGCTCCTTCAAATACCACCATTAACTTAAAATATTTTTTTCTTTGTGGGCAGATTATACCTAATTGAGTCAATATGTATACATAATCTATTATTTTGTTGAATTTTAAGTGTAATTTCATATGTAATTGTTTACTACCCCACAGCTCATTATAATAGAATTTATGATTTTCACAAGTGTACACTTAAATACTGTATGCATGTTGGATACAGTAACAATGTCTATTTGTTAATCTATCCATTCCACTTGCAGCACAAGAGCCTCTAACATTGTAGAATCAAATCTTTTATAAAATGTGTGATCAGAACTTACCTAGAGCACAGCCTTGATAAAACATTAGATAGTAATGAACTCTTTACTCTCAATTTTTTGTAGAGTCTTAAACAGACCAAGCTTGTAACTATAACCTCCTAACTTTTTCCTGTACATTTGGTTTGAAATGTCCCTCTTTCACTTAACATTAGCAGTTACATATTTCCCAGATGTCAAAGTGTGATTATCAAGATGTGCTCTGAAACATCCTATCTTCCTGAAATGTAGTTAACTCAACTTCTGAAATTTACTCTTGGCCATGCACAATTTAGAATACACTCACACAGGAATTTTAAATCTCTCCCTTAACTCAGCAGTTAATATTGACACCCATTAGAAAAACACAACAGGTTAATAACACTATAAATGAAACACAATTCTACTGGTTTCTCATTCAGATCTCTCAGTATTTGAAATGTGATAGAAAACAAAGTACTTCGTAAGCCTAATTTTTGCACAAGACATTAAAGATGTAACAAACAAAATATACTAGATTTTGTTGTTATTAAGTATATAAGTATTAATTAGGCATTTCATATCTTGCAGATTATAATTGCTATAACTTTGAAAAATTCATGACGGTGTGGATGTCTTAGACACATCAAGACATAATTTAAAGCCAAGTTCATGAAGAAGTTTTCCAACTGAAACAGTTGTGAATCCTTTCCTTGTCACTGACAATCCCAGATGACCTTGACCTTAAGGAAGCCTTCTGTTTCTTTAGATATTGTCTATTAGTTCTGAGACCACTGAACATTTTAGGCAAGGGCCTCTTACTCTATTTTGATGGAGCAACTATCCTGACAGGCATGCTAATAATAAGGGATAATAAACACTAATAATAACCCAAATAATAAGGGAGACATTACAAAGAAAGTATGGATGGATGTCAAGAAAAATAATACACATAGTCTCAAAATTATTGTTTTTTTCCCCAAAAACAACAGTTACCTTTAACATTTTAACAGGTTATAACAAATCTATACATTGCTTTGTTATCTGATAATTGTGTTTTGATTTAGGCCCATTTGCTGCTAAAAATCCTTTTAAAAGCAAAAATATCAACTAGCATTTACTGTTTTCCAATGAAAATGTTGTATGTACACATTTATTTTTAATCATTCTGAAAAGGATATTAAGATTTTTTTAAATTTAAGCGAAGGGTAATTTTACACTTTAGAAATAATACTAAACAAGGGAGGAAGAGGGAGGAGAGAGAGAGAGAGAGAGAGAGAGAGAGAGAGAGAGAGAGAGAGAGAGAGAGAGAATAGTTTAGTTCTTTGGAAGAAAAATTGGAATTATTAATTGTCTTTGTTTCCATTCTCTTCCAGTTCAAGTCCACTCCACCCAGAGATATTGTTGTCTGCAGATAATGAAACAAGACCTTGGTAGACAACTCAAGAAACTGTAGGATCTTAAGGATTTTGATTCACTAATAAAGTTTCTTTCTTATATGTATGTTTTACATTTTCTTTTTTCCCTTTTTATTGAAAGAGATTCTTTGCTCACATAATATACCATGATTATAATTTACCCTCTCTCTACCCCTCCAAGTTCCTTCCTACCTCCTTGTCCATCAGAATCCACTCCTTTTCTGCCTCTCATTAGAAAAGAACATGCTTCTAAGAGATGATAATAAACTATAACAAAATAAAATATGATAAGATAAAACAAAAGCTATCATATAGAAGTTGGACAAGACAAACCAATAGAAGAAAAAGAGTCTAAGAGAAAGCACAAGAATCAGAGACCCACTCATTCACAAACTCAGGAATTCAAAAAAAACTTTAAATTGGAAGCGATAATATAAACACAGAGGGCCGAATATAGACCCATGCAGGTCCTGTGCATCCTGTTTCAGTCTTTTCAAGTTCATATGTGCTTTATCATGGTGAACTGGGGAATAAAAACATTCTGATATCCCAGAACCAGAAAGACAAATACAGTTTTGCTTATATGGGATAATAGCTACTAAGTCAATGATAATTAAAGAGCTTTGAAAATTTTAATGTTCATTCTTGGTGACATCTGTTTACATGAGATCTTTTCCATATAATATTGCCTGTTATATAGAAATAAAGGAAAATGATATAAAGCAACTATGTAAAAGTACAGTAGAAAAAATAAAATAGGATCATATAGCAAAAAAGTCATCTTTTACATTGAAAGTTCATCTGTCTCAGTGACAAGAGAGCTGAGACTGCAAATGAGAGAATCTTCATGTGAATATGAAGTGTTCTTGCAGAGGATCAGAGGAAAACCCTAGGATTCCATCAGGCAGAGCACAAAGTTTTGGAATATTTGTTTAAAATCACTGTCTACTGGATGTGAACACAAACAGATGCACGTTGTTTAGTAGAGTTGAAACAAAATGGAGTTCTAGTCTAAATCTCAATGGTCAGTGACTTAACAGGAGCAACCAAATCCCCGCCTCTATCTCTATCTATCTCTATCTCTATCTCTCTGTGGCGTGTATGTGTGTGTGTATGTGTACCTAAATATAAAATTGTTATTTTGAAGAGAAAAAAAAACACTAGATCAAATTACTGGTTTTAAACTAGAAAACTGTTAGGATAGTTAAACGATAAAGATCAGATATAGTTTTGTAAAATGGCTTAAATATAGTAATTATGAAGATAAAATAAAATCAAGCATATAAATTGCTTAGATTATGTATCACAAAAAATTCCATAGATGCTGTTGTTCTTATTGTTATTAAAATCCTGCTTTTTATTTAAGAAAAAAGTAATGGAGCTGGGCAGTGTTGGCACATGCCTTTAATCCTAGCACTCTGGGGGCAGAGCTAGGTGGATCTCTGTGAGTTCGAGGCCAGCCTGGACTACCAAGTGAGTTCCAGGAAAGGCACAAAGCTACACAGAGAAACCCTGTCTCGAAAAACAAAAAAAAAAAAAAAAAAAAAGAAAGAAAGAAAAAGTAATGGAAAAGTAAATAAAAATAGTAAGCAAAGGAAGTATAAACATGTTCAATTTATATTTGTTAGCATTGAGAAATCACTTATGTTAAATATATTTTACAGCAAGGCATTCAACTAGATAAATTCTATGATATATATGCATCCATGGATCTATTACCATAAGCAATCAAGGTAGTAAACATATCTCTCACCACTGAAAACTGCTTTTTTGAAAATCATCCCTCTTGTTTCTCAATATCTGCTCCACCAAGGACAATATAAACTATCGATTCAATTTGGTTTGCATTTACTAGTATGTTATGTAATTGGAATAATTAAAATTTTGCAGTATGACTTCTTTAACTTAGTATAATTCAGATCTTGTTTTTCACAATGGATGCATCCAAGTGTTTGGCTTTAATCACTGAGTAGTACCTCCTAGTCTGTCCATTCACCTGATTCTAACACTGGAATTGTTTTCATCATTCAGCTATTATGTTATAAAATTTATTTTTAACACTGTGTGCGTGACAGTTTATGGAAGAACATTTTGTGTCTCTTTCATCAATGCTTAGGAATGGTAGAATTGAGTCTTACAGTGGGTGTATGATTGGCTTATCAAGAAACTAATAAATCATCTTTTAAAGTTTGTATCATTTTGCATTATCAGTTTGTGAGAGTGCCATTGACCTACAAGTTCACCAATGCTTTTTAAATTCAAATAACCTATTAATAACAAGTATAAAATGATTTTCACTTGTAACTTTAATTTTTGATTTTTAAAGTACTGAGAATTCTTTACCCAGTATAGATACAAAGAACTTAGCATAGGCGATCTACAAGTATTTTTTCACCTGTTTGTAGTTTCTATTCTCTCTTTCCAGGGAATCCATTGATGTTTTGTAGTTTTAGGATGTCTTCACATGATTTTGAGTCAGGAAATGCAAATTGGCTGCCGTCATTCTTTTCCAGAAGCTGCCTCTCTCAGTGCTCCAGCCCTGTTGCCAAAATTACCTCCAAAGAACTATGGAGGGTCTGAGATTTTGCCCAATTTACCAACTAAAATGTTTGCCAAATGTTTTCATGGATTCTATTTGAAAACATAAGACTTGTGAGTCAGAGATAAAGAATAATTTATCACTCCCAGAAATAGCATTAGCCAGTGCATCAACTTTAATGTGTTTGTTCCAAAGTCCTCATTTCCATGAAGAGAATTGAAGAAGCCTGAATTTGGCAAAACCAAGTATTTTTCTATTGTTTTTAACCATTATGCTCTTTTCTTTACAAGGAGGCTGCAGTGAGCATCATAAAACCATTTTAAAAAAAAATGGCCCAAATAATGATCACTTAATTCCTTCTTTATAATAGGGAAGGGATCCAAGAGTCTTTGAGAGATACTTCCCACTAGTGAATAATTCGTTCTGGTTGTTTACATCAGTGGGTTATAGAGATTTGATGTTAACGATGTCTTCTGGTCATTCTCTTCATCTCTCAGCGTTTGGTTGTTGATGAGCTTTTTACCCCCTGAAGGAATATAATTGCTTTTGAAATTTTTTGTGAATGTTTTACTTTATTACATTGTATATCTATTGTTAGAGGTAAGGTCTCACCAAAATAGCTCAGATTGGCCTCACACTAAGTATGTAGATCAGATTGTCTTAGAGATCATTCTTATCCTGTCTTGGCTTCATCAGTACTAAAGAGGGTACACCACCAAGTCCAAATTTTAGTTGAATTTGGAAAAATATCTTACTTTTAATTATTCAACTCTCTTTGCTACATGCTTTCCATTATTTTTTCTCATTTGGAAGATCTAGTTTCATATATTTGGCTGCTTCAAAAATTTTTAAGCTCTCTAGTGGTGTGTGGTTATAAATGACCTTTTATTTTGTTTTGTAAAGTTAGTTTTTAATTGATTCATAGAAACATAAAAACTGTATGTATCAACGCTTTGACATGATGTTTGATAAATCTACATACTGAATACTGTCCAAATCAGGTTAACCCCATTTATCTCCTGGAACATTGATTTTTGTTGTTGTTGTTGTTGTTATTCAAGGTTTCAGCATATTTTCTTGAAACTTTCTAAGATGTACTGTATATGTAATGTATGTGTATACTTGCTGTTTATGTTCACCCTGATCTTCAATCACACACCACTATTTGTTCTATTTAAATATCTTGGTATTCATTGATGAAATTTTCCATTCCTTCCTGTGCCCTGTTGACCTTGTCTTCTCTTATTCATCTCCTACCTCTCAACTTCCATGAGATCAACTTTTCTTTTTTCTTTTTTTTTTTTTTTTTCCGCTGAT